ACAAATCATCTCACCTCACTTCAGCTGTCTAGAAATTAGACATCCAGACTTGACTGATCATTTAGTCAAAGAAGAGATAGGCAGTAAATGTAAGCAAGAGAAATCTTTGGGAATTCTTTACCTTGGATTAAGAGTAAATGGGGTAAATAAAGTTTGAAATTGAAAAAAAGACCTACGCAACCAAATCCCAGAATACCTATCTGAATTTTTCAATTTTGAAAAAAGACAACATAAGCAAAATGATGAGAGGAGTGATCCTGGTGGGTGGGGGGACAGGCCAGCATTCTCAGTACAGGTTCTAATCTTAGCAGCCAAGTAAATGCTCAGACTGGAAACAACACAAATATCAATGGTTTGGTTTAATTAAAAATGGACTTACAACTTCATCTTGTAACCTCAAAATCATTGCATCACCTATCTTACCTATCACTGTTGGACTTGCTGGCTGCAGGACTAAAATGGGGGTTTATGTGACTGGAGCTCTGACTACACAAGTACACAGGTGTTTGTGGCCCACATTCAGAATCTTATTTCATAAATCCCTGCAATCAGGTAAAATACCATGAAAGGAAAATTAAACACAGATGGTTTTATCAATATGGCAACAGCAGCATATTTATAACTGAGCCACAGAATAACAGTATAGGGAATACCACTATGCTGATTCAATTTATTGCTCGCTGATTATTTTGAGAATGCAGCATTATCTCTTTATTACAACACGTTGTCCTGACTCCACTTTTAAATCAGCATTATCGAATTCATCCTTGGTGCAACACTAAAATCATCAGCCCAGCTCAACAGGGTTGCTCTGAAGCCTTGTGTGTGGAACACATTCAGCTGAATGGGATAAAGCTGAGACATTGCTTTTTATAAGAGCAAACTTACTGAACTTGAACTCATGATTGGATTCGGGAAAAGCAACATTTTTTTAAACACACTCTTTCCTTCGTTTGGAGAGCATTAAACTTCAGCAGTCGTTACATACAGGTGATTTCACAGCACTTATCTTCAAGTGCCAAAACTTGCCTTTATGTGATGAAAAGGAAATAGTCATAAATCTTCCTTATGCCATAAATATCTTTTAGAACAGCGATGTTTAAATAAGCAGAAATGGACAGCCCTATTTTCATACATGGAAGCAATGGAAGAATAACCTCCCTGAGGCTGCCAAGACAGAGCTGGACTGTTGATTGTACCGTACATGGAGTACTGAGATCTGGGCATGTAGATCCCATGACTCCTCCAGGCACTGAGGTGCCTGAGTAACCAGTAATTCTCAGATGATTCAGGTAGATTAGCACCACTTTTTTCAACCCCAGGAACGAATCAGCAGGAAACTGGGAGAAAGCTGAGAACCATAAATTTCCTTGTGGTCACAGTGTCTACATTAACTTTTCATGAATTTTTATTTACGCATTTTTTACCAAGTTGTTCACTGTACTAAATAAAAGAACTAATGAAGATTTGCAAAGGATGTCACAGTATTACATATATGTGACAGACCTCAAGAGACTAGTACTAATCAGGAGTAAGATTTTGGGATTGTCATATAAACTTTCTGTGAAAATTGCAGTTTAGTGTCTGGCACCATCTCAGAAGACACACTGTCAGGAATTTAGGGATGTGGAAATGGAGTACATAAAGAAAGGGAGCCTACAAGAAAGATGGAGAGTGCCTGTTTACAAGGGGGAATGGCTTCACACTAACAGAGGGCAGGATTAGACTGAATATTAGGAAGAAACTTTTCCATTTGAGGGTGGTGAGGCCCTGGCACAGGTTTCTCAGAGAAGCTGTGGATGCTCCATCCCTGGAAGTGTCCAAGGCCAGGTTGGACGAAGCTCTGAGTAACCTGTTCTAGTGGAAGATGTCTCTGCCCACGGCAGGGGAGTGGAATGAGGTAATATTTAAGGTCCCTTCCAACCCAAACCATTCTGGGATTCTAAGACTCTAGGAAATATCTTGAATGTATTGAATAGCATGCACAGTTCTGCCTTACCACCTCACGGGCTGCAAGGTGCTGGAAAAGGCAGAGGGAAGGTAGCAGGGTGATCCTTTTACAGCTTCCAAGTAAGGAAAATTTTAAAAGACCAGAAATACTTAACTTTGAAAGCAGACAATTGAAAGAGTAAGTGGCATGGAGAAGGAAAGTAGGGACTGGTGCTCATTGTCTCTTCCAATACAGGAATTCAGGGACAGCAAAGGAAACCATGCGGGGGTTTCACTTCTCTACACAACACATAGGCTGTGAAATTCTCTACCATGGGGTGCTAGAGATGTCAAAGGTTTAGAGTGGGCTCACATCCACATCTAGGGTGTTTTACAGCCAGAAAAAAAAAGACAGTCAGAATGTAAATGGGTTTTTCTTTCAGCTTTTGTTCCCCAAGACAAAACCTAGGGATTGCCAACATCTGAGCTGGTTTTCACCCCTCAGTGCTTGCAAGCAGCTCCACTACATCCCATGTTCCATAAAGGCTACTTCCAGCTTACAAAAGAAAAAAAAAACACCTTTTTTATTTTGATAAACAAGGTATGTTGCATTTAACAACATGGGCAGTCTTGCTTGCATCACTGGCCTTTGCCCTATCACTAGGTGCCCACAAACCATCCAACTCCTTGGATGTCACAACTACATGTAGATGGTAAAACTGCTTTCACAGTTATACTACAACTTCCTGTCTCCTCTACCTCACCTACCAGCCTTCTCTGGCACAGTTAGTCCTCTATGCCATTTTTGCAACATTTCTTTCCTAAGCTATTTAGGTTTTAAAATATTTTACCTACACCTGTCGTCTCTTAGTATTCCACGGCCAGGTACGTGCCACCCATGGTCCTGCACTTCAATACCAAACACTTCCCTGGCAAAAGGCTGGGCAGCTGCCCCAAAGGGGACAAGTGATGTTTATATATTACCATTATAACCAAAAAAATTAAATTTTTTGATAAATAAAAAGATAATAGAAATGGCAAGGATTCAAAGCCAGCTCATCTCCTTGACCTGCCCTTGATTCTTGCAGAATCAGGCTCCCTGATTTGGGGAGCACTTTCAGCTAGACCTGATTTCTACAGCATATCCATTTCCCATGGCACCATGTTCAGCTGGAAACCAAGCCACAAACATATCTGCCACTTCTCAGTTCTGAAATACATGTGTATTTCTGAAGGATGTCCACTTGTGAAAACCACAATTAGTCAGATCTATCTATCCATTATATTCCTTGACAAATTAAAGCAACAGTGCAGTTCTCTAGTGCAACAACTTATATTCCCAGCTTAACAGGTTTTAGGCCACTAAAAACCAAAATATGCTTCCGATTTACTGCTTTAATGTATTTAAATCCTATTCCATTTATATCAATTTAATTGGTGTTACACTTTCCACAAAACAGCTACCATAACTCCTTCTCTTAGAGGATGCTGCTTGAAATGACCAAATTTTTCTTAAAAATCAGATAAATCTGTTTATCTGTACAAAGCCCCTTGTGGCCACTTGCTTAGTTGTTTATATTTTTCCTTTTTGTTCTGTTTTACCTCTGATAGGCTCACAGTTGATGGATGCAGTACAACTACCATCTAATTAAATTGCTGGAGAGTTTAGCAGTTGATAAATACGGTTTATCAAAAAACCATCACTCAAGCTCTCACTCAGAGATACTGGTAAGTGCATTAAACCAATGTAAGCAACTTTTAAATAAGACAGTTCAGTTTTAGTACATATCCAGAAGATAACTTCCATTTTACTTTATGATAATTTTCAATAGCAGAATATGATATAAGCACCAGCAAAGTAACATTTGGAACAACTAATTCAACAACAGGAGTTGGCACTGTGTACAGTCTCTCTGAAAGCCAGGTACTTAAAGCATTTTTAAAAGTATGTTTTCTTCAGTGTAGGCAGCACATTGAGTCACAGCATAAATATAACTATGCACACATCCACACTGTGTATTTACACACACAGCAAGATCAGGCTGTGGGGTAAGAGAATTCCTTTTTTCACAAGAGCACTAAGGATATTTCTCTTCTGGGCAGTCTCATGTTCACAGGCAGCGCCCCATGGCCTTGTAGATTTTCTAGGCAGAGGATCTGTGCAGCCACTGGTCCCTTTAACCACAAACTGGCCCCAGCTATTCCAACATTTGTGAAACAAATTCAAACCCACGAAGGGAAATGAATATTCCATTTTTTACAGGCTCACGTCTTCTAAAATGAATAATGATTTGGGTATTTCAGCTGACCTGGATTCGGGTAGAAATGCAGTAACATTATTTGATCTTCAGAGATCACCTGTTCTTTTGATGGTTTAGCTTCAGTATTAAAAATCTGAAAAACTGACAATTTTGGGTTTGTGTTTTAACTTTCATTTGATTTTGCAGCATGGTCAAAATGAGACACTCTTGCAAATCAAAGAATAACAACCAGTCTTATTCTGTAATTACACGACTATGAAGAGAAACATAAATGCAATACCATACTTCTACTTTAGTTTCTACCTATTTGTCTTTCATTATCTGTAGATCACTCAAGACTAATTAATTCTGAGCCAAACAGTTTTCATAAGTAAATTTTTAGCCACAAAGTGAATTCATTGATTTTTCCCATTTTTGCATTACTGCACACAAAAGCACCAAAAGCTCACAAAGCCCCACAAAAATTACCAATGCATTCCTTACATGCTCTTGAGATAATATTACTGCAAATTCCTGACTTCAGTATTCCAGTAATGTTTCAGGTTCCAGTTTGAATGAGTTTCTCAAATTACAATTCCACACCATCGAATTTCTATGCAATGAAATCCTATATAACCACAAAGCCCTCTGTCTTACTGCAGCCATTATATAAAAAAATGGAGAATAAATAAATGGAGGCCATTTATTTATTCTTTCCTAAAATGCCAGCTTTAAATGTTTTATGATATCAGCCAGCAAAGGAAGTGTTTGGTGGCAAGTCATTTACACCATATATTCAAACAAAAAAAAGGGCAGTTCCATCAAACATACCTCCACAAGCCTGCTGGTATGTTCTCGAAATATAGCAGCATATTCCTTTATTTCTTTCTCTCTTCCATTTTTAGCAGCTTCAATGAGAACTAGAAGTGGAACAGTGGTATCTAAGAAGGAGTCTGAGATGTGATCTATAATGGCTTTACGGAGCTGCAAAAGAAAGCATTACATTAGTACCTGCTAACTGGGCTATTTGTTAAAGTCTACTATAATTACTGGCCATTAATATTTTATAACATAAACATCTACACACTGTATTCCTGCATTATTTGCAAGATTGGGTGTCTGAAACCTACTGCAGCTGCAATTTATCTGTTACACAGAAAGCTGTATTTAATTTTAGGGACAATTTTAATATGCCACTACCTAAATACGCATGTTTGTAAGTGTAAATGTCTGTGTGTGTGTGTACAGACACATGAAACACTTACAACATATACTAGTTTTGTTGAAATCAAGGGAGCCAAACAAATATTCTCCTTCCTTGATGACAAAATCGACTACTTACATGATTTCACACGTGAAAAATTAGTTAGATCAGATCTCATGTCTCCTGGGTACTGTCCCTTGTAACTCAGATGCCAAGGGAGAAATCTATTTAATTTTACAGAGAAAAATATTAATTTAATTATGTTTGCACTCCCAAAATAGTCTTCATCACACGTTTTCATAACTGTAAAATTACCCAAATATTTTCTTGTTGGGAAATCCAACAGCAGAGTCTGATTTGCAAGATGGTCGCCTTCGTGGTAATTATGTCACCGAGATTACTGATTATGCCACCTGATAACGTATTAATAGAGCAAGAAGAACTATAAATGAGTATGAAGTTCAATTTTCTCTGCTAAAATAAATTGTTCTTGAACTTCTTGCTTAAATTATTAATGAAGTGTAACATTCTGCTACAAATTATCCCTTTTAAATTAGGTTTCACATAAGTTTATAACTGATCTCCAGGACGTTACAGCACTTAAGGGGTTATTCTGCATGTTATAAACCCATACATGACAATTATTCAATTTAATCATGGAACACTCAACAAACATACCAGTTGTAGCAATACATGCAATGTAACTAAATTATCAAGTTTGCTGAATTTCCTACTGCAAAAATGTTACTTTTATAATATACAGAAAAGATATTGATTGGGACAGAAAAGGAAACAAAGTATTTGGAAGCACTGACAGGGTTGTTGCCAAAGATGTTTTCACTCAGAATTTTGCCCCAGTGCACCTGTGTGAAAACTCAGTAGAAGTAAAGGCTCCTACCAATAGAAAAATGCAAAAACCCACAGTCTTTTTGATGCTGCTGTGCTTGTAGGTAGGGCAGTGACCATGCACAGCAAAAATAATAGCAGAGAAATCTGTTGATTATCACGACAGGATTTGGATATGAATTTCACCACTACCTTTGAGATAGCCTCACCATCTAAAGCCAGCTCTCATTGACTCACCAAGGGGACAGACAAATCTTCCAAAAAACACACATGTTTGGAATGGTTTCTTTGTCTTCTAACTTGCTGCAGCCTATCCCATTGGGATATGCTATCTGGACACACTGTCTGTTCTGAAAGGAACTTAGAAAGACAAAGGCTATGCGATTCCAATAATTGGATTTTTTACATTCTCAGCTTCATTCAGGCTGGAATTAAAAAAAAAAAAAAAAAAAAAAAAGTTATTAAAAAGTTTTGAAAACTTTCACTAGTAGGAAAAAATACGTTGAACCTCCAGTCCTGAGAAGTTACCTGTTGAAATTTTTCTGCTGGAAAGGCCCAGCTGAAGAAAACAGACATTTTTTTCCTGTTTAAAATTAAGTACATGAATGTGACCTTGAAGAATCACAGTTTAAAACTTAAGATTTCAATTTACAACAAAATCAACAAAAACCTGTGGAACCATTATATCCATGGCTGATGATTCGTTATCTCCAAGAGAAATATTTTTGGGTTCTGCACAGCCTAGGCTGTAGGACTTTTGCAGCCTTAGTGTATTATCTGAGGACCAGTGACTGTAATAACCTCAGTCACATTTGTGGTGAGTTTGAGGCATCCAATTTCAAACCAGCAGCCTAATTTTATCTCTCATTGCATAATTCTTTGCTATAGCCTTTTACTGGTTTGCCTGGTTTAATTAACCTCTCACATATAAATTATCATTATTATTTTGTTCTAAGAAATCCACTATCCTGCAATTAAACAGCAGATCATGCCTTCTTAAAAAAAAAAAAAAAAAAAAAAAAAAAAGGATAATGCTGTGTCTTTACTGAATACAAACAAGTTTGAAATTATGTTCCAGTTTCAGGTCTCCAAAAGAAATACACAAAGCTGAGATTTTTCAAAGGATGGCTCATGTAGCATTAAAGAACCAAGAAACGCAATGTAGAACAAAAGAGGGGAAAGACAAAAGACAAAAAGGAATATCTGAAGCAATATCTTATTTCTTTTCATCCTAAGCATAACTGTTTTCATGACTCAGTAAGTCTGACTCTGGCCACCTCTAGAGCAAAATGCTAACAGCAAACCACACAGGGAGGCTTACAAACAGACACAGGACAGCAGCAGCAGTGCTGGCAGGCAATGCTGGGAAGTTATTGTGCTATAATTAAAACTTTTCTCATATTTTAAGTGAAAGAGACACCATCACAAGAGGGAAAGCAGGGGAGGATGATGCCTGACAAACTGTTTTATTTTTAAGATGCAAGGTCTTGTTCTTACCCTTTGAGCAGACTGTTACAGAAGCATGGGGAATTTTTGTTTTGATATCAAAGTGCATTAAAAAATAATATAGAAAGATGCTGTTTATAAAACATGGGGCATAAGGTTGTTAAAAACAGTGGAAGGTAGAGAAGAAAATGCCAGCAGCTGTTTACAACACTATTAAACATCAGTATTCTGATGAGCACAGAAAACTGTGTTTGCCTCTATTTGCCTCTTGCCTCAAAAGACTACCCTGGCAAAAGTCCTGGACAAACCACAGATCAGTTATTATTGAGGGATCTCTCTTTCCTGTCTCAAAGGGATGCCAGCAAGGCAATCTCCTTTGTGTTCAGGAAAAGCTATCCATGATGAAGAAGGAACATCGAAATATAAGAACATCCTGAGGAATAACATTTAGAAAAACAACCAACCAGCCAAAACTGCAGCAAACCATAGGAGAAACATCTGTGCAGTCCATTCACGCTACACTGGGAAACAACTGGGAGGCAAGAACTGAGTACGGTAATTTTCCATAATTAGAAATTAGAATGAATAGGCAATTCCTTCTTAAGTATTCATACAGCTCTACTAGGAAGGAACAGTGACCTAGGCAAAGCTGCACACCCAGAAATGGCATGCACATCTCTGGCACAAAGCAAGTAAAAATCAAAACAAAGCAGAATAGCTTAAAATCTCCACAAGTAAGTGGCCAAGTTCTTGAAGTGAATGCAAATAACTTCCCTCGAAAAGCCAGAGACCTTTCACAACTTCCAGGATACACTCTTACTGAGGTGGCTGCCTTTACCTTCAGGTCTTGTCAGACACGAGCCCTCTTTCACCCCACTTCCTGAGGCCTACAAAGGTGTTCCAAAGGGGGCCATGGCACAGCCCACAGTCAGGCTGGTGCCTGGGCCAGCATCTGTGTGACGGTTCTCTTTATTGGGTACTACTGAAGAGACTCCCAAAATGCAAGTTCATAAGGTTTGGTGTTTAACCCCAATTTTGCAGAGGCAATGCCAGCAATGGCTGAAAGCAGAGCGCACACCATAGGCCCAAATCCACTGTGAGTGACTGATGGAACACCAAAGAGGATACACAGTATCATTTAAAAAAAAAAAAGGTATTATAAAAGCTATAAAGAGTAGAGCAAACAACAATTTTCATGTTTCTTGTAAAATTGCTGGGAGACAAAATAATGAATGTTCATAAGTGAAAGTAAATAAGGCTCTATTGCAATATCTGCTGGCACAGAACTCACAATTTCATGTTTCCCAGATCAGGAATTAGGCATGCAGTAAGCACCCTTCCTAAAACAATTCTTATGCAATTCACATGTATGAACATAAAACAGGAGACAGATGAAATATTTCTCATAAATACTTTCCAGTGGAAAATGTCAAGAAGCCACAGAGCTATTCTGGTTAGAGAAAATTACTGGTTCTAGATTGGCTATAAATTGGGCATAATTACATTCAGCCTGAACATTTTCCAAAGGTTTACAGAAAGACACAAATTGACTCAGTTAACAGCTTTTAACCACTGTAACAGAGTCAATAGACTGTTATAAGCTGGAGTTTAATTAACTCATGGAAGAGATTGTAGGGCAGAATGGGATTGTTCCTAGACACACTGAGCTCGTGATGCAAGTTGCCAGGTCTCTGCACTGAACATATTTTTGACAGAACGTAAGCAGAAATTGGATAGCTAGTTAGTAACAAATATATACATATACCTATAATATATATTTATTTGATATTCATCTCATCTTTCAAGACTTCCCCTGGCTGATTATGGAAGCAGGAAGGAATTTATTCATCATTTTGAAGCATAGGCTGGCTTGTAAGACTGTACACGAAGTCGGGAGAGATATTCTTCCACCAGAGGGTTGTTAAATAGCCACAGCCAGAGGCAGGACCAAAACAGTGTGTGCTCATGTTCTGTGCAGCCATGACCTTTCCTATAGGTGGGGCAGCCTGGCTGAAATAACTACTGGCTTTTCAGCTTTCTTTTCTAAACTGGCACATGATACACCTTCAACAAAATTTACAATTTTTCTCAAAGAAGTTTCTGGCAGAGAAAAGATGTTGTGGATTTTGGTCCATGTCTCACACTAGTTTTAGGATGCTAGGATGCAAAACAGGTGGGTGGACTGTGGACCAGGTATTCCAAGGACCCTTTGTGCTGTAAGAGTTCTCACAACTGTAAAGACCTTGACATAGTGACTCCATAGTTCCTTCATGGTGTCTGTTCCAACAACCAATAATAAATTAAGCTTATTTAAAATAAAAAGAATCTTGATGTCCAGAGTACATTACTAATATATATCTATAGAAAATATATATTTAGACATGTATACATGCAGAGATTTGCCTATGTACAAATATATCTTCAGCCAGTATAATTTGGATTTTTCCCAGAGTTTCAAAAACTTGTATGTGTATATCCCCTGGAATAGTGCAACTATCTTCAATATTTTTTTAATATGGTAAAAAAAACCCTCTTTGTTTTCAAAATGCATAAACTGAAAATAGCAATTTTGAAAGGCATCCTTCAAGACCCTTTTCTACCTCTTCCTTTCCCGAGGTTGCTCACCTGTCTGCGGAGATCTCTTGTCTTCTTGCACATACTGTCTATTGCCACGTTCAAGGCATTACTTCTCACTTTCTTGTCAGCCTGTAATAAATGTGACAGAAAACACAAAGATGGTTAATTGTGATTTCTCAGCAAGCATGTTCTTTTTGTCCTCAGTTCAGCAGAGCATTTGGTAAATCATATATGTGTACAGATTTTTCAGATTTTAATACATTTCAAGAGCCAATATGTACAGAATGCCAATTTGTGGTGATAAGTGTAATTTGCTGAATGAAAACATATGCTTTAGTAGCAGTCTATAGGAACAAAATTAAAAACTTTTCAACTTCTGAATTGCTGTAATACTCTTAGTGTAATCCGGGGTTACTTGTGGAAGAACATTAATAGAATTATTATTATTACTATTGATGTCAATCCATTATCACCATATTCGTGTGAAAAATAATGTTATCTGTCTACAAACAAGTAATAAATTCAGATGCCCACAATGCAGTTTGGTAATGCTTTAGTTTGCAGCACTCATTATTTAATTCCTGGAACATGGAACACAGAATGGAGGAGTTTCAAAATGTCCAAGCTGTTGCAATGAAATGATGTTGTTTCATTGCTCATGAAATGGTACCTCTTCATTTAACAGCACATTCATTCTCAGCATCCAGAAGATTGAGTTCTTGTGATACTGGAGAGGTCTTAAGAGAATCAGTTGTACACTTCCTAAACAATGTTATTTTTTTTCATTTCTACCTGTAGGCAAAGTGCTTATATCATTGTTAGCTATTTGAAAAGTGTAGTTAACACTTTTATTGGACTGCCCAGCGTTTTTTCTGTACAATATCACCATAATAGCTCTGTGTCTTATAGCTGGTTGGGATATTTTTCTTCCCTGTTAGCAAAGAAACTACAGGAAAAACAAAAATGCCTCATGAAGTTTGTTTCCCTAAAGCAAACAATCATTACTCACTACCTTTGGACTGCCCTGGTCTGAAGGAAAGAACCACAAACACTGAAAGTGTCTTTACACAAAGTCTTAAGTCAGCGCTCAACATTTACAGCAAAAAGAACCAGATTCTCATAAATGTTGAAGAAATAGCTGTGTATACTGACCACAACATCTGGACTTCAGAGAGAGTACACCAGGATGTCTGTATTATGAACATGACCCTCCTGTTTTGTAAATAATATTAAAATTAATATAGAATTTGTAATATCTCAGTAGGCACCTAAGTGTAGCTACTAGATAACAAGGCACCTTGTTATCTACAATAAATCATATATCAGTCAGAGTTATTTCCTTGCTAAAAAAAAAAAAACCACAAAATAATCTGTGAACAGAGCAATATGCTTAATAATAATAAAGCAAAGACTAGAGATGATCAGGAAAAAACCTTTATATTAAAACTGAAAGAGCAATGTAATAAAATGAATGCCTTGAAATTATTAGTCTAAAGGGAACAATTACTTTAAAAATTGAGCTTATATATTCAGGGGGACTTAGAAATTCTCCTGTGATTTTTCTATTTCTGAAATTGTTTACAGGTCTTGGAGAAAGGTCTGAACTTCACCCTAAAACCTTCAAGGAATCCCTAAAGGTAGACATTCACTTTTTGTATCACGGTAATGCAATCGGTGCTCATACCAAAGCTGGCACGGGAACCAAAGCAAATAATGTCTCCTCTACTATGTTTTGTAAGTTATTGTAAAACTTGACAAGAAAACTTATCCCTTCAAAAAACTACCAGGTAAACAGGGCCAGTAAAAGCACTGTGGATACAACTCAGCTTATGCCTATGCATTTTCAGACTACAAAGATGGCACATCCTTTGAAAGCTTTACAGTCAGAGCCTATTTTCCACTAAGACAGAATCAATGTAAAATACTGGGTTTTTTTTTTTTTTTTTTTTTTTTTTTAGTTCTCTAGTAATGTCTAACTTCAAAGGTGGCAACTAATGATACAACTGGCTCTAAACAAACCTAAACCTAAACCACTCAGTCAGTGAGTGGCATATATTGAACGGAAAACAAGGAAAAAAATTCTTTATTTGCAAATTCTTAACATTGTCAATAGTCAATGTCTAGAAAGCAAATCTAACTTTAACCGAAGTTATCCTTCACCTTGTGTTTTCCCCAAGAGCCAAATAAGTTGTAAAATGCAGCTTCAGGCTGAAGAATGTGGACATTTCCAGAATGCAGGTAACCTCAGAACTGCAGACTCTCTTTCTTCTTCAAAGAAATTTAAACAGCAAAAACCCCACACTGCTGTTCACACAAATCCTGCTTATAAAGACTTTAGAATTTCTAAATTGTGTACAGTCCTTTCAAGTCAGAGGTACACCTGACTACAAAGTCTCCCGTGGGAACACTCCCAAACATCAGTGGCCTCGTGCTGAGTTCTCCAGTCACCCATTGGTCCCACGTACCTTTAGATGCTGAATTACTCCTTCAAGTTTTTATTCCTCTGCACACTTCCACCTCAGATCTGTACATGACAGTTACAGTTCAAGATCTAGACTAGATGATTACACTTTTTAAGAACTAAAAAGACCAGATTTAATATTTTAAAAGTGTCTATTAAAATGATGGCACAGTGAAACTAAAGGTGATCCAAACACCCCTACACTGCTCCACTCTCCAGTGATAGAGCTCACAGGTCTGTATTTGCAACACTCTGCATCTGCTTGTCTATTAACATTCTTATAACTGCTGTACTTCAAAACAAACAAGCCTATCCTGAAATAGTTCCTTCTTGTACAGGGTGACTGAATCAGGATAAGGGGTAGGAAAAATATGCAAACTATTCTGGGCCTGGATTTCAAAAATCAGGCAGTTGAGCTCTCTCCTTTCAGTTTTCCTGCATTCACCTACTGTTTTTTTCTGTTAAATATATGTAATAGCAGTGATATGGCTCCCTTGTAAAGATTCTAAAAGCAATATCCCGCTCCTATTTCAATGCATTTTTAAAATTTGAAACATTTTACAAGCACTAAGTCACACTGTTATTAATACTCCACTAAGTGAAAAAAAGTATTTTTAATTAACACTGGATAGCCTGAAATAAATGCTGGGTATTGCCAATAATAACACAGGCCTACCTATTTCACACACTGGAAAACAACAGAAGTTGAATGACTCAAAAACCACACGAGCAGAAAATCTTTCCTGCTGGATTTTCATTTAAAACAATCCATATCTAAGGGCAGATTCTCATCTGAACACAGGACTATCTCCCCACTGGTTTTAATGGACTTCATTTAAATCACAATTTGGGCAGGACTACTTAAATGATCATCTAATTTCTTCTAGTACTCAGGCTAATAGACATGAGCTAAATTTATAAACACTTATATAAAAAAGGATATATAAGAGGATACAATCAGCCATAAGTATTAAAACAGCAAATACTATTCATTACATCAGTCAGTGAACACTCCCACTTTAGCCATAATCCAGAATTCAGTTACAACAGAGAACTGAAGTACTCTCATTAGCAGGACTAAACCAAACAAGTGAAATGGAGCCAGTTTATTTGGGTATGTACTGGTGATAAAGTAGTCACAAGGATTTACTTAAACCTTGCAAGGTTGCACTCCTTACAGAAATCACTTCTGCATCCCCTCTGAAGGTCCTAAACCTCTACTCTATATAGAGGGTGGGGAGAGAGAATTAATTTGGTAGGTTGAGGGTTTGTCTTGTAAATAGTCCCTCAAAATACTCATATTTAAAAACAAAAACAAACAAACCAACCAAGAACCCCAAACAAACAAAAAGCAAAAAGCAAAACACAAACTTCTAAAAGTAAATTGTAACAGGCCTTCACAAAGCACCCTGGATATTTTGGACATACACACCTGAGGGAGACACTGGGATTTCAAATATAAAATCAATATTTTTCAGAACTAGTCATACATGTTCTAAACCACATCTGTAGTCTCTAGCCTCTCCATGTTGTGGAGTAAAAAGGAGCAATTCCATGACGAGAACAGATACCTGCTGAATTCCGTATTCCGGAACTGCTGGAGTCTCAGCTATAAACTTAAAAACTACTTTACTTTCATCCTATTCAGATATATTCATATATATATACACATATTCATATATATTCACATATTCAGATGGAACTTCATCTTGCCTTCCTGGATTTACACATTAATCTAAACAAATATAAGCTGAAACAAAGCAGTGATACTTCACTGGAATGTTTAAAATTACATAGATTTTAAAAACCAAATACATAACTTTAAGCCATATTGTTCTCAAAGACTCTCCTGGAAATAGATTTCCATACTTAAAGACCTATGGCCCCAAAACACGTTTTGTTTCATGGGATGTGTCTGTTCCCAAATACTCATTGTACAATCCTGGGAGGGATGAATAGAAAAAAGAAATCCAATCTGCTGCCAGGACTTCCTTTGTTTATCACAGAATCACAGAATGGTTGGTTTGGAAAGGACTTCAAAGATCATCTCATTGCAATCCCCTGCCATGGGCAGGGACACCTTCCACTGGCCCAGGTTGCTTCAAGCCCCATCCAGCCTGGCCTCGGACACTTCCAGGGATGGGGCAGCCACAGATTTTCTGGGAACAGGTGCCAGGGCCTCTCCACCCTCACAGGGAAGAAGTTCTCCCCAATATCCAATCTAAATCTGCCTTCTGTCAACTGTCTCCAGCAGCGTACCATGACTCTGGGATAAACATATTTTGATTTAGTTCCACGTTTCCCACGACAATTTTATTTTAAAAAAGACTAGCACATTTATCGAAATCAGTTCTCTATGGAAATATTTTTCAAAAAAAAAGTCAAGCTAAAAGGTAAACACCAATCAATACTACAATAAGTTAAGAAATGTCAGAGCTCTAATTAAATGACTGATTATTTGGGGCTATATGTAGACTGACAATAATGCTATACTCAGTAATTATATGCTCCTGTACATTGTACCTTAATTTAAAAAAAAAACCAAACAAACAACAAAAAACAAAGAAATGAACCATCATACAACTTAAGACATTAAAGCAAAGTCAGAGCCTCTATAGAGATACCCAGCATTTTATGTCTGTTGTTACAATTTAGCATTTAACATTTA